GAAAGGATAAAAAGAGGCTTCTAAGCACATTCTCCATTCTCAAGGAACTGTTAGTCTGGTTGGTCAAATAAGGTTCTTTCGTCTAACTTAACTACAAGAACTACAGAATGCCTCGGGAGGAGCCAGCCTCCCATTAGTAAGGCTGTGGAGAAGACTGAAGGACTAAAGGAATTTTCAAGGTAGCTTTGGGTAATTTCACACAAGAGAATGGCAAGAATTCAGGGACAAAGGTGAAAGGTGCATTTCAGTGTGAAGAAATGCTTTGGTTATGTTTGAATACACAGCTTCTGTATGTAGTTCTATCAGGGCTAATAAGCTCAGACCAGCACGCTGAGGCCAAACTATGAAAGGTTTGAATACAGGCTGTAGAGTTTGTACTTTATACTGCAAGCACAAAAATTTCTTGGAAAGTTTTAGAGCAAGCAAGCGATACTTTCCAAGCATTGAATTAATAAAGTGACCCTTGTAGTGACAGACAAACTGCTTTGCAGGGGAAGAACTGAAAGGCACACTGCTCAGGCGTGGGGTTAGGCATTAGTATGGCTGTGGCTTGGTAAAGGCCAGAATCAAAGGACAATTAAGAGTCAAGGACAGACTAAACCCAGCATTTGTCTGCTTGTTTGTTTTTATTTTGAGGGAACATGTACAGATTGCTACAGTTGAGTAATATAATGAAAATATCAAAGCTAAACATACTGATAATCTTTATGAATGGGATACTAAAACATCTTACAAAAGAGGACAGAAGGAATTCTTCATTCACGGTGTTATCAAGGACGTGGTGAGCATTCTTTATAACCACTTTTCCTCATATTCTTTATGCTATATTAAAAGTAAGACATAGTCCTCCAAAAACCTGACATACTTTATAAAATATTTTAACAAGTTTATTAACTGACATAATAGTGTAGAATTTAAGTTTTGACATATGTGTCTTTAAAAAGCAGCTTTAAGTTTCATTGACTTTATTATTTCTAGGCTATTTCATTGAGTTATAAATTCAGCTCTCTACTTATTAATTTTTCTTTCAGTTTACTAGGTTTAATTTGTTTTTTGTTTATTTTTTCTTTCTAAAGTTTATTTTTATTATAATTATTGGTGCATATCAATTATACAAAATTAAGGGCTTACATTTTTTTTTCATTTAATATAGGATTTCAGGCATATAATGAGATTTGATTGTGGTTGGTGTACTTTTGAGGAGCTGGTATGTTTTTTTCCTTCTCACAATGAGACTGTAAAGCTCCAACAATCTTCCCTGAATGCAGGCAGGCTGGGAACCAGGCTCACTGCCTGATGACCACAGCTGTGTTGACTTTAGGTTGTAATCTCTGTTTTCTCCTTTGTTCTTAATTCTTCTCCCCTCCTTTCCTGTATCTTGTTTGTATTTTGCCCCAGCCTCTGAGCCCTCATCTACCACTTTATTATATAAAATTTCCAAATTATTAGAGTGTGATTCTTGAAGCAATAGCAGTAGTAGCTTTGGGGACTTTTCAGAAATGCAAATTCTCAGGCTCCTCTCTAGAGTCCTCAGCCCAGGTATCTTAGAGTAAGGCCCAGATATCTGCGTTTTTTCACATCCTTCAAATTATTCTGGTACACACTGAAGCTTGAAAACTACCACTCTGAAGAATAATCTATGTTCTTTTCTTTCCCTTTAGGGTTATATGTTCCCTAGCTTATGCTATCTCAGGTCTACTTTGCATAAATTGTTCAATTATCCTGGTGAATTATATATATATATATATATTGTTTCATTGTTAGGGGTAAGAAATAGCAGGAAAGAGTATCCGGGGTGGTAGCACAGGCCTAAAATCCCAGCTCTGCACACTTCCTAGAATAAGTAAAAATTTTAAAAGGAGTTCATCCAATTGGTGTAGCTAATTATTATCCTGCCACAACCAGCACACAGAGGTAGTCTGTCTCATCGTCACTTGCTGGACCATGCCTCAAATACTCTTAGGTAGTGTGACAACACCTGGTCCAATCAGGGGCTATCCTTCAGTAAAAAACAGATGAGAAGTATTTTCTTGAGTAGGGTTGGAACACATAAACCAGTACATGACTTGTTCCTGTCCAAGAAATTTGTCTTATTGACATAAATGTGTACAGCTTGACTCTAGTAGAAGACTAGTTAGGATTTTCCTAGTTGGATAACCAGGATTCAGACCATGTTTAGAAAAGACAAAGGGTGACACGCACTGCTTAACATAATTGAAAATAGTCCAGAGGCAGGGACTTTTGCTCCTTCTGATGTGTGTTCCTTCTGATGTGTGTGTGTGTGTGTGTGTGTGTGTGTGTGTGTGCGGTGTTAGGGATCAGACCCAGGGTTTGCACTTCTTAGGCAACCAGTCTACCACTGAGCTATCTCCCCTTGTCCTCATTGTGACTTTTGAAGCTGTTTTAAGGAATGATTGAAATTAAGGATTATAAATGAACAAGAACCCAGTTCCAAGATTACACAAGATGACACCCAACTTATATTCTTAAAGGAAATATACTGTTGGATGTTTTCATTGGGGTGTATAGACACTGTTGCTTTTTAAACCATCCTTTAAAAACTATACATTTAATAAACTTAAACATAATGACAGTTTCAAAAACTGGTGTAAAACTTCAAGTTTCGTTGTTAGGGATAAGAAATAGCAGGAAAGAGTATCCAGGGGTGGTAGCACAGGCCTAAAATCCCAGCACTCAAGAGGCTGAGGCAGAGAAATCAGCTTGAGGCCAGCTTGGGCTACACAAATGAGTTCAGGGCTAGTATGGGCTAGTAGTGAGATTCTGTTTCAAAACAAACAAATCAACAAATAAACAGCAGGATGGAATGCTTTTCATTGGAAATCTCTTTAAATTGAGACAGAAAACATGTAGAGATGAAGGATGATTTATTTTGCCCACCATTCTGTTCTCTGTGGTGACAAAATAGGCAGAAAAGCATTCTTGCAAAATAGATGTGAAATCTTAAGATTTTTTTCAGTCATGACTTGCATGATGCTGGCAATCCATGCACCTCAGAGCTGGGTTAAAGGCTGTGTTGTTCTACAGTTGACTAACGGCAAACAAATATTTACTAGATACTGATGCTGCATCTAGATTCCATGAGAAACTTTTCATCTATTTGAAGACTCAAGGTTAACATGTCTGTAACAATACCCGAAGTACAAATAATAGATGGATAAGTGCTAAATTACGTTACGTTTGGCATATTTTTGTATACTCTTGGAAATCTCATCTCTCATGATTTTATCTAATGATTGTAGGTCAGTGTTTCTTAGGAGTGATGTAGGGATAAACTGCTGCAAAAAATACTTAACATTCATTCCCTCACTCTGGAATAAAAGCACTTTCATAATTATTTTGTCTAACCATGTACTAATCTAAAAATAGCTGCTAAATGCTCAGACTGATGACTTTTAAACAGTGATAAAAAAACAAATTTACAAGTTATAACTTGTAAACAAGTTGTAACAACTAGTGGGAAGGATGACATTTTATTGAAGCAGATACTACCACCATCCACTGGAGCTTTAATAGTTGAAGTTTCTTGGTAATTTTTAACTAGGACTAATGTAATAACTCAATCTTTACTTTCTTCACATTGCTGTGAAACTATTTTTATATACATCCTGTGGGATTTGCTTTTGCCTGTGAGTTGTACAAACAAATTATGTATGTATGAACTCTGCCTGTGATATTTTCTCATTATTTTGCAACAATATAGAACTACAGAAGAATGTCAACCCAATGGAAATATAGATAAAAGGTTAGGAATTCAATCTTGGATGATACTTGATAAAAGGAAACCATTCAATGGTCCCATTATTTTTTCTTTGTTACATTTTAAGGATTGCTACTGATCCAAAGATGTGAAATCTTCATTCGAAGACAGAAATCCTTGTTAAAAATTGAGGGCATCTGTAGGGGACACAGCTGTGCCTCTCAGCTCTCCCTACAAGGAAGCCTGCAGTCCGCCAGCCAGTGGCAGACAGCTGGTTTCCTGCTTTCACTTTTTATGGGGTTTGCTCAGCTGCAGAGAAAGAACTGCCTACCCTAAAGGCTCGTCCTCCCTGGGTGCCCACGTTCAGTGACTGATGGAAGCAGTAGTACTAAAATGTGGCAGTTTCCTCTGAATGAGGTCTGCTCCCACCACCCTGTGTGCTCCGGCTCCCTGAGGAGTTGGTCGAGGCTTCCTCAGCTTGCCCCACAGTTTCACTTGCCCATCCCAATCCTGGTTTCCCATGTCTCCCATTACTCTTAATCCCTGATGCTACCATCCATACCCAAAGAACTCAGTCAACAAACGCTCCAGGCATCACTCCCCGGAGGCCCTGCAGGGTTGAGAATGCCTTCTTATAGCTTCTAGTCTCAAAGTCCAGTTTCCGACTGTGTATTCCTGCCAGCACTGAAAATTCAACTGGTCCAAAACTGACACATAACTAATTGTTTAGGTGCGTGTCTCAGAGCAGTAGTGTGTTTTCTGTCTTACAATCGTACGGCCCTTGAAATTCCTCACATATCTTGCTCTGCACATTCAGTTTATTATTCATGCTTCTCACCCTCTGTAGGGCTTTTCTCATTTCTCCAGGGATCCCCTTTTCCCTAAATAAAGGATGCTACTGAAATTATAATAGACAACTTCTCTTTGCTCTTGGGATAGCTACTCTTTTTAAAGCTATTCTTTGTAATAGCTTTATATTTCCCTCTCCAACCAATTCTGTAGACTAAAGTTATTTTTTTTTCCAGAAGGACATATACAGAAAATTCCAACCCATAATCACCTACTGGATGTATTGGAGCACAATACATTGGCTTGCATATTAAATAAAAGAGTACAGCTTTAAGAAGATAGCAAGAAATGCTCAAGATTTCACTTTTCCTTCTTCACTGAGTGTTTGGTGCAGCCATTAGAAAAAACCATTTGTCATAGCTGAAGATGAAATGTATTCATTTTTTTCTTTAACTTTTACATTGTACTAAAAAGCAAAGAAAGCAAGCCTTGGTAAATTCCAAAGTGAAAACTTTATAACATAGAAACTAGAACAGATGAATATTACTAGGCAACTCACAGGTCTGCGGAAATAAACATACATTTTAAGGCAGAAAGCTCACTGCAAGATACTGGCGTTTACAATGGAATATTGTGTTGTCAGCTGAAAATAAGAATCCGAGGTGTTTGTGAGGGAGAAATTGTCAGTAAAGCAGTAGAACATTTCCTGCCCATGAGTACAATCCTGAGGGTTCGTGATCGCCATGACGAAGCCAAAAACCATCACCACAGCTCCGACAGGCAGCAGGACACAGGACATGATCTTATCTAAGTGTGTCCTTGGTTCTTCAGACAGCTTCAGATAACATGCTGACGGGATGATAAAAATCAGGGGGGCAGCACAGAGTGCACCCTGTGTATTGAAGACAAGAAACACAACAATGTTACAGGATGGAAGCACTTTTCAACAGTTTTTTCTTAATCATTTTCAAAATGTTTTTTTCATTGCATACATTAAAATTTTGATAGGTTCAGTTGAATCAAAAAAAGGAAAGGAAAATAATTTTAAGAAAGACTTAGACATAGGATTTCCCTTTTCTAAGGGACTATTTACAAACGAATAAGGTAGAACAGTATTATCAGACCACAGAAGAGAAGACCTGGAAATAATATAGAAAATGAAGTAGATGTTAAGAGTATCTTTGGGCAAATGTCAAATCTTTCATTTCTGAGCCACTTCCTATATTTCCTCCTCTTCACTTAGTATCTCTGTGTATCAATTATGTTTTCAGACTTCACAGGTTTGTCATTTGTGTATAAATGGGGACCTTGGGAGATTTTTGTGGGCATAACTGTTTTTCTTTCAGAGTTTGTACTATGTGATTTTAGAGCTTGATTATGTGAAAATTATAACCCTAAGGGCATTTGATATGAAATGGCATTTGTAAATCCTTTTTCACTGACAGAAGAACAAAATGACTAACTTCCCAAACTTCCCCTACATCAGCCATAAGTAAATTCAACCTGAGGGGGAAGGTCAGATTGAAGATAATGAGCAGTAGAGTATTCTATTATAAAAATTATCAAACATAGGGGCTAGGGATTTAGCTCAGTGGCATAAGCTCCTGCCTTGCAAGCAGGCAGTTGTGAGTTCAATCCCTGGTACTGATAAAAAGGAAAAAGACTAAAAAAAAAAAAATTATCAACCATTATTGATTTCAAAGGAAAAGAGGCTTTCCTCTTTTTAGGCCTAATTCTAAATAGAAACTTTAGAAGTAAGTAAATGTTAAATTTTAAAGCATTACAGACCAGATATTTTTCTAATTATGTCAATTGTTTATCATGTTGCATACTAAATATTGAACAAATCATAACATTAATAAAATATATTACAATTTTACAATACATGTTATTTTCCTAATTTATAAGATATAAATTTACTTTAAATTTTTTTTGTTTATTTCAGATTTTCTGGAATATATACAAGTAGTGAAATGGTTAGTACAGTGAAGCAAATTCACATATCTATCATCTCATGTAGTTTTTTTGTGTGCATGATGAGAGCAGCTAAAATCTATTTATTTAACAAAAAGTTCCAACAGCAACACAAATTTACGAACTTATACTGTACTTAAACTTATGGTCTTTAGCTATAGGTTAGGTTTTTTAGGCTTCCTCATCCTACTGATCTACAGCTTTGTGCACTTTGACCTACATCTCATTTCTTACTATTCTTCCACCTCAGATAACCATCATTTTGCTCCTTATCTCTGTATATATCACCCCTCTTTTAAGATTTCACACAAGTGAGATTGTGTAATATTTCTTTCTGTTTTATTTAGCACATTGTTTGCTCAAGATGTCGCAAATGGCAGCATTTCCCTCTTATGGCTGAGTCACATCCTGTTGTGTATATGTGCCACATTTTCTTTATTCATCCATCCATTGATGGACACTTTGGTAGCAGCCATATATTGGATATTGCAAATAACACTGCAATGAACTTGGAAGTCCATGTATCTTTAGAAGATAGTGATTTTTGAGATGAGTTAGGATTCTAGTGACCCCAAAATGGAATTAGGAAGCCCAAAATGAGCTTGCTGAGTTATTACCCTCAAGGGGTTACAAAAACATCTGTCAAATGTCCTGAAGTTATCACTGTCTTCTCTAGACTAGGCTGGAACATGGTTACGCAGGCCATTGGCTCAATGGTGCATATGTCCTGTGTAGACACTGTAAACACTCCACAGATTGGACCCTGAAAAATAGTCTCTTACCACATAGAGATTATAGCACTTGAACAACACCTTGCCTGAGCTTTCTTCTAAATCCCTTAAACCGCTAGGCAAAGGGTCTTTGGGGCTATCCCACTGAGAACACCCTCTGGGCTAGAGAGAGCTCTACTTTCTTGTCTTTATTTCTTTTAAATACACTTGCTTGTGTTTTGCATCCTCTGTCCCAGGTTTCATTCTTCATCACTGTGGGACATGACTTGGAATTTCCTCTCCTTTGGGTATAAAAACTCAGAATAGAAATTACTGGAGCACATAGTAGCTTTGTTTTTAATTTCTTTAGGAACATTTTTCATAACCTATCTATCTAAAATATATTACTGACTTTCATATCTATAATAATTACTAATTAAGTATAGTAATCAGTGTGTCACTGATTTTTATATGTTGGATTTAGCCTTTCAACTTTACTAATACATTTTTCACTCTAACATTGTGTGTGTGTGTGTGTGTGTGTGTGTGTGTGTGTGTGTGTGTTCTTTGGGTTTTTGTACATATAGGATGCTCATTTGCAAATAGAAACAGTTTTACTTCTTCCTTCCTAATTCAGATATATTTTATTTCTTTTTCTTGTCTGATTGCTCTTCCTAGTACGTCTAGTAATATATAGAACAGCAGTGGTGGAAATAGGTGTCCCTACATGGTACCGGATCTTAGTGGAAAAGCTTTTTAGTTATTTCTCATTGATTATGACATTAGCTGTGGGTTTTTCATAAGTAGACCCTTTTATGTGGAGGAACTTTACTTCTATGCCTAACCCATTAGTTTTTGTAAAGAATTGATGTTGAGCTTTGTCAAATGCTCTTTTCCTATCAACTGAAATGATCACATGGTTATTATGTTTCATTTGTGCTATATCACAAATATTATTCTCCCAATCCATAAAATGTAAGTTTTTAAACACACCAGTGAATAGGAAATGTGATACTGGTTTGCAGTTAAACTCAAGGTTTCCATTAGATACATTTTTCTATATTTTAAAAGGTCATGTAGATTTATAAATATATATCAGAATGATATAATAAAGCCATAGTAACCTGTCACCTACAGGTTACAAGTTTTTGACATTATTTTTGTAGATTTTCCTAGGATCAATCAAAACAAATTAAACTTGCAGTTGCATGATACAAAAATAACAAATTATATCTGAAAATATTTAAAATAATTATTTTGTCAATATCATTAATAAAATTATTTTTGTTTCATAGGAAAAGCAAACCCCATGTCAGAAATACTACAATTATAATTTCAATAATTTAAAGAATCTTTTTATAAAAACAAAAAAAGAGTCCAGAAAAATGGTCATGAATGTTTTGTATTTTGAACTCAAATAAACGAGATAATTTGTGATAATTTGAAGAAGCATTATGAGGAGCACACTGCCTGAAAAATGTTTTTACAGGAAAAGAAAATACAAGTATAAGAAAATACTAAGTGGTATCACTTTTACATTCTAATTTCAAATATATGGAAAATATGGTTTTTCCATTCATAGCATTTGAAGACAAATGCATACCTACAAAGACATAATAAACGGAGATCAGTGGTGGCTAGAATTAAATCAATTATGGATTCTGTAGATTCCGTCATGACTTTTTAAATTATGAAAAATAGTATAGAACTCAATCTATGATTTTTCATTAAAATGTTTCACTCTGGTTTCTCTGAAGTAATAATTTTTGAAAACAGCAAAACAATTCAAATTCACGTGAGCCCTGGCTTTGCCATGCAGTCTCTTTCTTTACAGGAACAAACATGTGAGCTAAGTCTTTGGGAGCTGCAGAGGGAAGGGGTTATGAGGATGAAGGGACCACCAGCTGCTGCCAAGAAGGTATCATCAGTCGGCCCTGTGGAAGGCTTTCAACCTAATTTTCTGGGCAGGACAACACAATGGGTGTTCTGTTGGTGTTGTCATTCTTAAAGGTTGAGAAAGTAACAATCAGAGGGAAAACTACATAGTTGATGTTCGTATTGGAGAAGGCCCAGTTCATTATCTTGTCTGGATACTGGTAGCTTTCCAGGTATCTAAAATCTCAGTCTTGACAAAGATCATTGCTAATATTGAAGATTAAGTTAAAAAAATGATGGTACAGTTCCATCTGATCTATACTCTATAAATTAGTCCATCTTGACTCATCTATTTAGTGTAGACCTATTGGAGGATTTGAAATGAGTTCTTTTAAATTAGAGTACTGGTCATAACACCATAACTATTTACTAAAAACACAGTAAAATATGGTCTGATTTCTAAAGACAAGATAATGCTATTCATTGACAGTAACACTAAGAATGCCAGGGAATTTTGTCTTTGCAATAGGGAAAGAACACAAGGTGTTTAAGATTTTACTAGCAATGCAGGTTGGAAAGTGTCTCAGTGCTCTTGCTTGAGTAGAAACCTCTCAAGGATGCTGAAAACTAAAAGAATGCTTATACATCTTTTAAATGTCTACTCTGTAATCAGTTCAGACATACGAAATTTATTCCTATAACATAAACAATAAACAGCCTCTTTCTAGCTCAGGGTGTCTTTGGCAATGTGGACCTATGGCTTGCTCACAACCGTGACTATATTTCTGTGACCAGGCTCTCACTGTATATTTGACTGGCTTCCTTCTTTCTGTGCAAAATGCACACAGCACTTGTTGGGCTGGCTACTCTCACCATGGACACCAGCTGTTTCTTTTCTTCTTTTTGTGCTGCTGCAAGTAGCAACCCATAGAGCCCAATTACTGCAGATACGTCTTTCTCTAACAGGAGCATCAGGGCCAAGGAGCTGGATTCTTATCACCAAGAATGGGATTTATACTGATGTTGCTAGCTTTTAAAATGAATCCTTCAAGCTTGGGGGAGGCTGGTTTCGAAAAATCATTTCATAGTTATATATTGCCATGAAAACAGTGAAATTAAAGTAAAATTTTAAGGGCCAGGGATTTAGCACAGTGGCATAAGTGCCTGCCTTGTAAGCACGAGGTCATGAGTTTGATCCCTGGTACAAAAAAAAAAAAAAAAAAAAAGGTAAAATTTTAAGTGAAGTTTTAATTTTATTGACCTCTAAGTCCCAAATAACTTATATTATTTAGTTTTACAAAATGACAGCATTTCCTTAACATTGCAAGGTTGAAGGTCTTTGTGCTGCTCAGAGACAATTCAGAAGCACAACAGAAAAAATCCCTAAATTACTACAATTATTAACTAATATGATAAGGCTCTGTGTTTAATCCCAGTATCTTTCCCACAATTAACTAGAATGAAAGCTATCAATTAAAATTTAAGACAATCAATTAAAATTTCATTTTATTTCATTTCTTAGTATTTAATCCATTATTAAAGTCTATTCCTATATATTATGGATTATTCTTAACTTTAGAGATAAATTCAATGCATAGATTTTTTTATTTTAAAAAATAAGTAGAAGAACAGAATTATTTTTATATAGTTAAGCCCTCAGACCTAGGAAATCTCAGAAATATTACAATGATTAAAAATGTGGGCTGGGGCTGGGGATTTAGCTCAGCGGCATAAGCGCCTGCCTTGCAAGCAGGCAGTCGTGAGTTCGATCCCTGGTACCGATAAAAATGAAAAACACACACACACAAAAAAAATGTGGGTTAGAGGATCCAAATACCTACAACTAGTATGACCTCAGACTGTTTAATTATAGTGCCTTAGTTCTCCGCCTGTGAAGTTAACATGGGTTAGGAAAGATAAGGCATCAAAGTACTTACCACAGTATAAGTAAATGTTAGCCCAAATTTTCATTATGAATTGGAACATAGCATGCTTTACTTCTAATATGTAGCACATTCCATTGTGTGTTAGTGACTGACATAAACGATGTTCCACTTGGCTTTACTTGAAGTGGTAAGTGCCCACACAGAAGAGGGCAGGGAAAAGGCCTGAGTATGTCATTATGCACACCATAAGACTGTTAGTGACAGGGAAATGTGTATTCTATGATAGTTTATAGAGAAAAGGGTCCCAGATTTCATTAATTCTCATAAAGTGTTTTAAAACTAGTGCAACTATTGGGTATTAGGTCATAAGAGACAATATAGAACTCTTCCTTGTTTTGTGTATGTATCTATATAAGCAAGTTTTAAAAAAAATCTGTGTTTTGAAGAATGTTTTAAATAATAAAAATAGTCTTTCACACACTGCCCATATCTTAACTTTTAATGGATAGATATTCACAAAGTATTTTTCTCTTGTTGTAATACTCAGGATCCTGTTAATCATATAACATTTTCAATATAAGTAAAATAGAGAATATTTAGTGTAAATGCTTTTACAATTATGTCGCACATTGTTAATCATGGAGATTAACAATTAGTTCTAAGGAAAATAACAGTCAAATTTACAGAAATATATCTTTTCTTAAAAATGAGCAATATGAGCTTAGAATGACCAAAAACTTCTCAGGCAATTAAGATGTGGTGAACATTCAAGCAGCTGATAAGCATATTTTCTCTGAGAACAAAATCCTACAGCATTAAGCAAGCAAATAAAATGTGTACACTCAATGACACATCTTTTTCCCAATGGCACATTTTATAAACATTTATAATACATAGGTACTTTATAAACAGGACCAGGGATGATTATGCTGGTCCTCTCTGTAGCATACTTGAAAGAGTACGACTATTGTCAACCTCAATACTGTTCTGTAACAATTTCCTGGTACTATGCCAAAGAATGTCTCTTATGACTGAGAGAGGAGGGACAAAGTGGAATAAAAGAATTGAAGGTACCATATATTCGTGTACCCACTCCCCAAGATGAATGTAATCATTATGTCCTGCAAACATATACTAATCAAAAATTTAAAAAGAATGTCTCTTATGTTGAGGAAGATTTGTAGAAATAGGTCCTGAACCGTAGTCTCAAGGAACACTCATGTAGTGATCTTAGTACAGTGTTCTCAGCCCTGCACCAAATATCATGGAGCACAATATTCTTGTTTCAAAGATCTGACAATTTTGTAGGTAAGGCAAATTTATAAGTAATTCAAAAAGTATACAACATGAGATCATAGAAATCAAGTTATTGCATTAAAGTAATAGCGATTCATTAACACAAATCAAGGTTGCCACACAAAATTATTTGGAGTGGACCTGCTATCCTTCATCTTGTGCAAAATGTGAAGTAGGTAGATGTTCCCTTTGACATTTATCTGTCCCTTGTGTGCGTTTTGTTCCTCCCAGAGACGGAGTCTCACCTTGTTGCTCAAACTGACCTTGAGCTCCTGGGCTCATGTGATCTTCCTTCCTCAGGCATGTAGTTAAGACCAAAGGCAAACACCACCATAACTGGGCTTTGTTTTTCAGTACTGATGGAACACAGAATATTTCCCTAGTCACCTGAAATTTTAGAAAGCTGCATATTTTTCATTTTCCATTAATTCTGCTACAAGAAAATACCCAGTAGTATGTTCTTGATTGAATCTCTTACTGCCTTTGTCTGGAAGTTCAGATTGAAATGGCATCTGTAAGGAACAGTGAGGTGGCTGGTGACAATACTTTCATTTATCCCCGAACTGTTAATGCAATGAATGAATGAAGACTTGGGGTTTTAGTGGTAAAAGTTAGTTCTCTTTGTGATAAATGATCACAAATGCTAAATATTGTGATTCTGATCAGCAATTCTGTAAGGATTGTAAATGATCTGACAGTGGCAGATTTACCTCTATTCCTGTCTCACTAAATGGTACCATTTTCCTGGTTTTGAAACATACTCCCAAGGACTCATTCTTAACGTGCTCCTTTAGCTCTCTATCCTCCCAGTTAAATCTGTCAGCAAATAATATCATTTTTTTCTTACAAAATGTCTCTTAGGAGCCAATCTACCTTCTCTCTGTCTTCTATTACAATCTACATAGCAGCTGGACTCTTACATTTGTGAAAAAGCATAGATCCTTTATGATTTCCTTCTATTGTGTGGCAGATAGTAATTAATAAAATATGATCAATGAATAAATAAATTACAAGTTATACCAGACTGTAAAATCTTTGTAATATTTTGATAAAAAATGAAAGGAAAATAATTATTAAAAGAAAGAAAAATTAGCTAAGATAAAGGATAAAGAAAGAATTGACCAAGTATATGTATAGGCCCCAAATAAGGTTTACTAAAGTTTGGAGAGAGTTCCAATGCAAATGAGAAATTATTCTTTAAAGATACGGATCAGGTTATTACAGCAACAGAGTTGATGCTGGCTCTGAGAGGAAAATGGGAATTATGTGGGAAAGGATACTGATAAATTGAAAAGAAAAGTTAACTATGTGGAGTTCAAGCAAAAAGAAAAAACAACAAAACAACAGCAACAAAATACCTGAGATCAATTAAAACGTGATATGATGGAAACCTATGTTTGAGTTGTGGCATTAGAAACTACAAAAGAAAGGCTTGGAAAACAAAATAAAGAAAAAGAAAACTGAGCCATGACATATTTTTAGATGGCAAAAAATTCCATGTCTATTTTATTTATGAATATTCTTAGAAATAACTGTATAGTGTAGTGGTGAGATTTGCAACCTTGGCTGTATTGATCCTTTTCAGATCAGGTAATTTGTTGTGAAAGGTTGTTCTATGCCCTGTAGGATGCTGGCAGCGTCCCTGGGTTCTTCTAGTTACGTTCTGCTAACACTGCCAGCCCCGTTATGCAACCAAATATGTCTCCAAAGACTGTTAAATGTGCCCTGGGGGAGGAAGAGTTCCCCATCAACCTCCATTTGAGAGCCACTGCTGTAAAACTATCCAGTCCTGTAAAATGGAGAGTATCACCATTATAAATATTTGCTATTGTACTACAAAACATTTTCATTCCACTTCAGAAGTGACACTTTTTAGTTAAGGAAAATATATCTTATATTAAATGGAAACATTAAAGAAAGTTTTAAAATGGAAGGAGGAAATATTCCAGTGTACTTACATTGAGTTCTAAAACTATCCCAAGGCAGTCGATCAGCAGAGACACCAGTGTGGCTACAGTAATGATCACCAGGGTTATAACGATGTGGAACACTGATGAAAGATTCCCACCAAAAAACACATTGGCAATTACCTGTCAAATACATAGATTATTTTGAAATTTACTATGGAGGTATGCAGGATTTATTGACAGAGTATTTCTTTCTTTCTTTTTTTTTTTTTTTTTTTGTACCGGCACTTGAATTCATGACCTCCTGCTTGCTGACACAGTATTTAATAATGACACTTAAGAGTGTATCAAATGTCACCAATAAGGTGATTCATCAAATTTCAATTATGATGAATTTTGATCTCAGTGTAGTTACATTCTGAGTTACACATATCCATATCCCTTGTTGAGCTATTAGTTGATAGGCTATGCTACAGACCCAGAGCACGTCTTGCCAGTGTTTGTATAAAGTATAAGAGAGCTCTTGGCAAGTCCTTTTATCCTTCTTCTTGAGCTTAACAAGGTTACTTCTGAAATAAACTATGACTGCTATTTAGATTATTGAATGACCTCTAAGGAAGGAGCTACCACATTGCCTTTAATCATAGGAATGACCAAGGTAGTAATATACTTTACTAAAAGGAAATTAATTCTGTGTAAGTTAAATCTCATAGCTTAAGTGCATTTTATCTTGCCTTTCCTCAACAAAGATGACCAGGAAATCAATCGATGGTCACCTATTTAATAGATCCCACACTGTGATATTGTTCACAAAAAGAAAACGCCTAGATGTCCCTGCTTTCTGGACTTCACTTTCTCAGAGGAGGCCTACAACTAATCTCAAGAAATAAACACAAGTCAGCTTGTGACAGGACAAACAAGATCAAACAGAATTTAGAGCTACAAGGAGCTTCCCCTTTGTAGATCTCCCTACTTTGGTCTGAGGTGAGCACTGAACCGTGAAGATCTGCAGTAGAATTACAAGCTGAGGCAGCAGAATGAAAAAGAGAAAAGAGAAGAATAGGAAGAGTACCTACCGGTTGAGGAAGACAGTCTGAATAGAGTGGGGGCCCTGAGAAGATCAGAGAGGTGAGAATAGGAGACGGGCAGACACCGGACCGATGGAAGCCAGCTCTCTAAATTCTTTACCTGGATAGGTAACATCTCCTGAGGTCAAATGCTGCAATGACTGCTAAAGATTTAATGGTGACACTAGTAACTTTATTTATAATTTGAAATGTCTCTTCAAATATTACCTTTTTAACAATCTATGTAGATAGCTCTAAAATGAGATTATGGGAGTAAAAAATCATCCAGTGAGACACACTAGCCAGGGGTATTTACTAAAGGATATAACCTTCTTGTCCCTTTATATACAGCTGGGTATTTTACCAAAGAGTGAAAATGGTTGTAATTATGCTAAAAATGTATCTGTGTGTATGTGAGCATGCACACTGGAAATAGCAAAGAAGTTAATGCATGAATCAGGGAAACGTCTAGATAACCAAAGCTCCTTCTAGTTCTAAATTCTATTTGATCTGTTTGATTTTGTTGTTGTTGTTACAAATTGACATTCTTCAGCCTATATTTGCTGCCATGGCAAAGATCTTGATTTAGTTCTTTCTTCCTGTCAGGACAGCTAAAAAGGAAACTCAAGTTGTGAATGCTAAAGACAGAAGCCTCACAGGTGACGTGAGTCAGACAGTCCACGAGCAGTTTCCCAGAAACCGCTGCAGACTGAGCTATCTGCAGATCAGAGCTAAACCTGAAGCACTGGGCAGACACTGGAAGAAGATCATTTCCTGCAACTAACAATAGTTAGAACACAGTGGAAAGGTCTTACATTTTGAAAATGGCCCTTGGTTCATTTACTTATCCTTTCGGGTGGCAGTGCCACATGCAGTGCCCAGAGGTACTCAAAGCAGAGGGCACATGCAGGGCTGGATGTTCCCCTCTCCCACACCCTCGTGCTGGTCCCACCCCAAAGCTATCTAATGAGTAGGCACGAGGCTGCCCTGAGAGGCCTGCCGATGGCTTTGTGTATTAGAGCTATGTGGACAACTCGCTTCGCTTTGTACACTGGACACATTCACATGGTGCACGGCATAGCCTCTGGGAATCGGTCTGATGACTAAGCCCTTTTTATCTTGACTCCTAAAAGTATCACATTTTACTGCTAAGCAGTACAGTGTGTGTGTAGCTGACGGCAGAGGGACCCCTGAGAGGCCATGTCATCCAATTTTACACAAAAGTGTTCATTCTCTTTCAGCTAATCTTTCTCCACACTCAGGTGGACTATGTCACATAATCTGGGGCTGATTTTAGGAGTGAAATATACATAGATTACATATTTACAGTATTACATGATATTTTGTTCTATATATACATGTACATATATGAATATATTTCTATAATATAGAAATGAAATACAACTGTAAAGCTATATTTCTCATGGAATGTGATTTTTTAAAAATAAAATGAATTAGAATCTGATATATGGTATCTTTAAGGCACACTGACTTACACAGTATCTCAGAAGAACATAATTTTGTAAAAACGTTCTTTAGAGTTTGGTACATAAATTCTTTATAACAACAATGTTTTGAAAAGAAGGCAATCACTTAGTCTGGCTGTACTGAAGGCAGTTTTTCACTTTGGAGTGTAGTTGTACAAATATGTGTCCTTATAATATGAACCAAATTACCAAATTCCAAATTTCAAATTCAAATTTTGAAAAATTATGAACACTGAAACATAAATTCACCTTTAAGTTCTTTTTTTTTTTTTTTTTTTTTTTGTCTTTTTCTTTTTTATCGGTACCAGGGATCGAACTCACGACTGCCTGCTTTCAAGGCAGGCGCTTATGCCGCTGAGCTAAATCCCCAGCCCCCCACCTTTAAGTTCTGATACGTTGTAGTTGAAAACGAAAATTTTAGAAATTGTATTACTTGTGTTGGGAATGTGAAGAATAGAAATATTTATAAATCTCCCATCTTTAAATGTGATAAAGATTAAATAGAAGGAAGAAACTGTGCTTACCTCTCTTGTCACAAGGCATTCAATTGGATACGTCAAGATGACAGTGATACCATAGCAAAACCTTCCAAAAGTTACCAGGTCATCACTTCTGCAATAATTTTCAAATAAATCTCCTGAGAATAACATAAAGTACATTCATTTACTAGATATTGGATTTTTGAGGTACTAAGAAGTGAGATGCTGCTTATTATATCAGTGAAGCTCTATTAGTGTCTTGATATTTCATTAAGATGATAGGTCTGCTTTAAATATAACTCTCTTGTATTCATCAGTAACCATATGGTTAGTTATTTACAGATGTTAAAATAGATGTTCCTTCCACTCAAAGATACATTTAACACTAACAGTTTCTTCATTGTTCGTTTTGGTAGGTTTGCCTCTAATTTGTATCAACTACAAAAAATACTTTATCCATTGTCTTCTTACATCAGGATCAACTCCCCAAATTCTTATGAATGAGAAATATAAATCTGCTTCTGGTCTTTGTTTCTGGTAAGTGACTACATTATTTAAAAAAAGAACTTTATTAAAATAAACAAATTCACTTTGAAATGCTATTTTTAGATCAAGGGCAATCCAGAAAGGAAGAGTAGACCAGTCCATCTGGGGAGCTGAATTTCCTGCATCATCTATAGTGGCAAGCCCCAAACACAGGACCTCACCGAGGAATTTCAAGCATGCGTTGTCTTTTACATCATCTGATGTGCCTATTTGCAAATGTGCTGTTCCTAAACTGTGAAAATATGGCCCTTTGCCAGAGAACCATACATTTAATTAGTTCCCAACTACATAATTGGTCATATATACCTCAAAATAATTCTTACATAGAGCCTATATGTTTTTAGAAATCTATAAAGAAATGCAAGCATCTAATGAGGGCACAAAAGATATGTCTGATAAAAGCACTTATTAATGCTGAAACAAAGCATTTGGGCCTGTTTATTTCCTGACCATATCATACTTAAACTTGAAAGCTGTAGTTGCCTTTTTAAATTAAACAATAGAAAATTAGATCAAAGTCACATATTTTACAATACTGTTTATAAAGGGCACAACAATTACTCTGTAGTTTTTTCATTAAATAACTAAATACCTTAAATGACCTACCTCTTCCCAAGACTTACTTTAAATGACCTCCCCCTCCATCAACTAGAACAAACATACATTACTTTTTAATGTCTATTTTGGGCAGAAGGAGATTATAGCATAAAAATGAAGTTGCAGAGAGCTGCTTCAAAATTGAATTAAAAGGTTCCAGTAGTCTGGAAAAAAAATGCCTATTAATGAATCTTCACTAATAAGTACTCATGCATCTTTCCAAATGTCCCTGGAAGGTCAAAAATGAGCTGCAGTTTACCTACTGTAAAAGGGGAGAAAAGAAGCATGTATTTTGTACAAATAAAACCAGATTTGCCAAAGGAGAATGGCCTGGAGAAACAAGGTCAGTTTATTCCAGAGTGAACCCAAGTGTATTTTAGGAAATTTTAGCTAAGAGTAGAACAAAGACAAAAACCACATCAAACAAACTTTGTAAGATAAATATTTAGTTATATCTGAGCAACCATCACTGATAAAAACACTGGGAAAGTGTGACTCCCCAAAACGATTTATGTGTTACAAATGTGGCATTTACAAGCCAAGGTTCTCAGCAGAGCTGAGCTTTTAGGCCATGCATCCTGGCAAGCTATGCAGCAATCAAGACACAAAACACAGTGCTTATCAGCACTTTCAAGGTCACTGTTAACTGCTCTCTACTGGCACACACAGGTATTGTATTTTTGACTGCATTAGCATCATGTTAATCATTTTTAAAGCCATTTTCTTTATTTTCTGAGAAAAAAAAAATCTATGTACAGCCATAGTAACCTGCAAGCTTTATTTAAAACAAGGCAGTCATTACCCAAGAGCATCCTCATGTCACAAGAAACACAGCCAAGAGGAGTCAGAGGCTGAGACAGCCATAGTGAGCGCGTGGGTCACCGCGGCCAAAACAGGGGAGTCAGAGGGAGAATGGAAGGACAATTAGCCTTAGGCGCCAGAATCCTTGTTTTGCAGTTTGTCAGCAACCAGCCTGGGCAAGTTACTTCACCTTTTTGTGTCTCAAGCAGGAGGTAAAACCAGTTATTCCACTTGCCTTCAAAGGGTTATTTGAAGGTCAGATTTCGAAAGCAATGAAAATATGAATCACTGAATTTAGCTGCTGTCAGAGTACCCAGAATCTACTATATGGATGATGGAATGAACAGGTTAAAGGCCACAAAAGAGAGGGCTGCTCAGTTGTTGGGCCTCGATGGAAAGTCAGGGAGTTTTGGAGGGAAGAGCAAGCACTGGTTGTATGGGGGAAGCTGGTGTTTTGTGACTAAGCCAAGAATGCGGCAGTTAAGTAGAAAGGTCCCACAGGCTGGAGAGGAAAAGCAAAGTGTGGGCTAGGGTGTAAAGGGTAAAAACATCTGGGAAATTTGCTGCAGAATGAAAACAAGGCAAGGTGTCTGACCTAAGCATCCAGGTGAGTGGGGGATTAGAGAGGTCAAAGAGAAAAGAAAGACAGAACAAATGTTAGCAGAGGAAAAGGATAACTATGATAATACAGCAGTGCTTTTCCTTCCAAGGGAAGACAGAGCAGAGAATGGCACTGTTATGTGACTCGGAAAGATACAGCAGAACCCGAGTCACGAAGGTCATTAGCACTGAACGTTGAGAGGCCGTCGGTACCTTCCGAAAGGAAGGTGCAGCTGAGCAGCGGGGAGAGAGCCAGTTTCCGTGATTGAGAGTGAAAGCAGGGAAGAAGAGAACATGGAGTACAAAATTATTCAAACAATATAAGGAGGAGAAAGGGAGGAAACAGCAAAAAACCGAAAGAGTAGAGAATGGGCAGAGAGTGATTAAATACAATCCTGGAAGCGCTTGTGTTAAAAATGAGCAGGACCCAGTTATACAGGTGCCATCTCTGCAACACAGAATATGACGTCACTGAATCTGCCACTTTACCTTGGGTGAAGCCAGTAAAAGTCAAGTATCCACAAGTCGCAAAGAGCACACAGATCAATACCGACACCAAAATGGACATGTGGACGACACGGGACCACTTAGGTACCGTGGGTTCTTCCAAAGAACCGTAAACTAAAAAGCAGTTGTGGTGGCAAATTAAGGCTGTAACACAAAACACAAAAGAAAGCAAAACAAAAATTATTAGAGTAAGTACCAGAGATTTTAATTCTGGAAATTGAAAAATATATACTTCTTTAGAATATCGAATAAAGTTCAATATATTAATTAACTAAATATGCTAGAAAATCAATTTTCTAACTTGTCAAGGAGTGAGAAATTCTTATCAGGTTTATATGGTACTTGCATGTTGTACTTAACACAAACTAGGTCTTTCAAACTTTTTGCTCATTTTTCTCCTCTTAAAGACCTTTCCTATACTAAGGAAAATCTAAAAGGCACCATAATTATCAGTACATGACTTCCGTAGCCGCCTGGGGTATGGAAGGGGATTAGGCAGTGGATCTATTCCTGCTACTCAGCGCACAAGCTGTGGAAGAAGTCCATAATGCTAGATCTCCAAGCTGAAAAGCAAGATAACCAACCAACCAACAAACAAGGAAGAAACAAGATAACTAGGATAAATTTCCTGCAACAGAAGCAGATTTCCTCAAGTTGAAGCAAATTTTAGTGATGAGAAAAGTTTGAGCCCAGTTTTATATTGGCACAAACTAGATCATATCCTGCTAATAAGAAATCTAAAATTGAGACCTGCTACCCAGACATAAATATGAAAAAGTACTTTCCCATGGCACAGATGACTGCATCTTGAGAAAGGACCCTTGAAAAGCCATGTACTCACCAAAAGACATAACTCCAACAGCCTGAATGGCATTGGGCTTTGCAAATACCCAGGCATCTTCTGTTTTTGGTCTAGAAGAGAATTAGTAAACTTGAAAAATTACTAAACAAATGCAGATGCAAGTATATTAGAGAAAAAAAATGGCATCACAAATAAAATTGAGTATCTTTAAGTAATAAATTAAAGATCTATTAATCCTATTTAATTATGAATAAATTTCAGGAGATATCAGCATTATCTCAACCTGTGGTGGCTAAAATGCATGTTGTATATTTGGACAGATTATATTTTTACATATGTAAGCTATCCAATGACTATGCATTTTTTGTGGATTTATTTGCTCACCAGAATAACAACAAACTTTTATTATGTATTTACTTGAGATATCTCTTGAGGGAGACACCAGATTAACAATGTCCAATTACTATTGTTTATTTCTTTATTTTTTTTCAGGCTCAATCTACCCAAGGGGATTGTAATTTATTAAGAGAGGCAGACATAGACTAATACCAATTGAGGGTGTAGTATGTCCTCTGTTATATCACAATTTTACAATAATATTCAAGTATTATCATCATTTAAGACATCAGAAAAGTCAGTTTCTGGGTGGTAATATAATTTATCAAGCCTTCACAGATGAATAAAGAAGTGGAGATTTGCCTTCTTGGTCTAGTGTACCTATCTGATAGCTTCCATGTTGAGCTGTCAACATGTCAAATTTCCATGTGTGGGTACACTTCTGCAAAAGAGTTTTGGAAATACAGTATGCACACTCTAAATAGCTCAAGGCATCCTAAATCCTACCAGATTAAACTAATCTGTATCCACAGGGATTGGTCTATCTGATTAACACCTTCCCACTCTGGTAAGGATGGCCCAGGAGTCGAGTCAGATAAGTAATCTGTGTTGTTCCTCCGGCTTTTCCCACTTACTATCTGTATGATCTTAGGCAAGTTACTTGATTTTTTCCATGCTTTGATTTCTATATCTATAAAATGAGGTTAATGGTAGTATTACATTATTGTGCAGACTGAGGAAATAAAATCTATGGAGGAGAGACTGTGGTACAGTGCATGTCAGTAAACGGTCATTAGCTTTCACATCATTATTTGTATAGTATCAAACAGTCTAAAAGCATGAGCAACTTTTCTAGAAAGGCAAGATTTAAGTATGTCTCAAAAGAATGTAGGAGTACAGTAGAGGAGGGCAGAGAAGCGATCCAGAGGACCCAAAAGCACTGGACACTTCAAATAAAGAGGAATTCCAAAACTAAAGCCACTACTCATATATAATTCCTATAAAAAGTTTATTCCTATAAAAAGACACACACATTAAAAAATCCTGTTTTGTCAAAGCTTGTGGGATTTACACATTATATTATTTTTCCTTCCACCTATGAGCCCAGCAAAGCACTTTGTGTAGTCACAAAGAACTTTCTAGAGAAGCCAGCTGATAAGAAAGGCCTCCAGCTGTTCGAGCAACCTGCTCCATGTCCGGTTCTTTGAGTGGGCGCTGCTGCCACCTGCTGTCCTACGACTCTTACTGCAGTCCTAAGCGCTTGTCAAATTTCAACCTCAGCTGGAAAGCAGTCCGTTTATCCTTAGAAAATGACTGCGATCCGGCAGTACTAACACTTGTGCAAATTTGAAAGCTGTTTAACTTTCTAGTATGCTTTAAATATATTATGTTAGGAAGACTTTTGCATGTGGAGAATGCTTGTTTTCCATTTAGTGCAGATTGTGATGATTGTTTACTCTTAAAACCTTGTATCAGTAAAGAAAATGTTGGAGTTTGATTTTGCCCTTATCCTTTATTTATTTATTTTTCCTGGTTCATTTTGTTCGTTGAGCACATCCCTGGAGTGTGTAACAATACCTCGAGATAATCTTGGATATTTTCCATTCATGTTAATAGTGATAGTTTTATAAGATATAAAGTACCAAAAAAGGCAGTTGAGTTAGATAAAAATATTAACAGTCAGAGAAGTCTGGGCCCCCGAAGGAGCCAGTGCAGAAAACCAGATACCTCACAACTGTTGGGAAACAGAAACCTCTGCTGTGCACCAGACCTCAAGAGAAAAGATAAAACAAATGTACTCACATACTTACTAAGAGATTCAGGGATTGATATGCTAAATAGGTCTCTATCACCTTTAAGGAAGCCAAAAGGAGCCACTAAACTAACTCCCTACAGATAAAGGCCCTGTTCTGTGTGCCTGCCCTCTTGTGTATGTGACTGGCTTCCCCATTTGTCTCCAATTTAATCAATTTCACCTTAGATTATACTCATGATCTGATTGGTTGACCACAGTTCTGACCCACCTCACGCCCACCTTATGAGTTTCCATGTTTCCCTACCTTGGGCCCTGCCTCACTGTGGGGTTTTTGCTTTATAAAATCTCTCGAAAAGACCGTCTTTGGCATCCCACTAAGGATCCCCTCTTGTCTCTCAGACAGAAGCTTTCTTTCTATCAGTAAATATATTGTGCTTTTAACCCCCAGTGCTTCTCAAATTCATTCTTCAGCTTTAGAGAGCACGAACTCCTACTGGACATCCAGTGGGTTGGGAGTTTCTTAGCCCTGTATCAGTGTTACGGATAGGACAACATATGTGTCCAAATTTAGGGAAAAGGAGGAAAACGATATTGTTGTATATGACTTTCTGATCATTTACGATACAGAAATGGATAAAGTTCCATTAAAATGTTTTAAAGAAGACACACACACACACACACAGTGGGGGAGAGAGAGAGAGACAGGGCAGGAGGAGAGAGAGAAAGAGAGCACTGAAATATTGATGAGACTGTAGAAATCTTGATGCTCAACCTGGATAAAACCAATCTTCTGAATTTAGGTTATAGATGTTAAAATATAAATAAAATACAATTATAGCCAAGTAATTTATAAGATTAAAATTCATTATTACAAAGAGTTTTTCCTATAAATGTAAAGATAGATTAGTAATAAAGATACATGTCAAAGTGTACTATATTAACAGATTAATAGAGGAAAAAACATTTATGAACATTTCAAAAAATACAAAAAGCATATGATTCAGTATTTACTTTGATAAACATGTTAAGCAAATGATTAGTAAAATAGAACTTTCTTAACCTGATAAGAAATCTCTATACAGCTATAGCAAATGAAATATCAAAAAGCGAAGTTAGAAATTTTGCAATTAAAAGAAGACTCTCAGTAAGGATGTTCAGTGTCACTGCTTATGTAACATATAGATTCTGTAAGGAATAGATTATTTGTACACCATATAATTGTGTCTATAGAAAATACAGGAGACTCGGATAAAATTTTGGAATTAGGAGGTCTCAGTAAAGTTTCTGGACAAAAGTTCAGTACACACAAAAATCATTAAGTCTGATGAACATAATTCAGTCTTTTTAAATGGCAGTGACAATAGAAACACTATTTTACTTCAGTTTTCACTTATATTACTACACGTTTACATCATGTAATGATTACATTCCTTAAAGGGAGTTGACACAATTACATGTTAAATTTTAATCCTTTTTTTGGTTCAGTCTCTTTTCCCCCTAGCTCATCCCTTCATTTCTTTATCTTCTTTGCATAAGAGAAAAATCTTCCCTGTTTTAATTTTTGCATTCGTAATCAAACTCAGGAGCTTGCGCTTTCCAGGAAGGCACTGTGCTGTGGAGTTCTGTCCCCAGCCCATTCTTCTCATTGCTACTACCCACTTCTAATTATCTATCCTTTATTTTGGCCTTTATTTATTTTTTGAGAGGGAGGTTTTCTCTTAAGAAAAACCTTGTAATATTCCAGCTTGTGTGTCTGGTTTGTTTTAGTTACCATTATGATCCCAAGGCACATCCATTTTCCTACAAATGACTGTAATTTATCCTGTATAGCTGGGTAGTCCTCCTTCGTGTATAAATATCACATAACCCATTCATCTGCTAATGGGCAGAGAGGCTGCTTCCTACATTCAGCATTATAAATTGAGCTGCTATAAACATGGGTATGCATGTGTCACTGTCTTATAAACACTTGAACACTTTTGGGAAGATACCTAGGAGAATAGCTGGACCAAATGGAATTTCTCATTTTAGTTTTTTGAGTAATCTTACTAATAAATACTGGAAATACTGATTTCCACAGTGGTTAAACTACTTTAGATTCCCACCGACAATGTGGAAGTGTTTCTTTTTTCCTCTTGCAATTTTGTGAGCATTTTTTATTATTTGAGTTCTTGATGATAGCCATTCTTTTTGTAGGTTTTAATTTCCATTTCTCTAATGACCAAAGATGATCAACATTTTAAAGATGTATTTAGTGACCATTTATACTTCCTCTGAGAAGTGTTTACTCATTTTATTTATCCACTTCATGGGGCATTTTATTTTGGAAAGTCTTATTGTTTTGAGTTCTAGTTAGTAGTCCTCCGTCTGTTTCTGTATCCTCTTCTCTGTTCCACTGATCCTTATGTCTATTTTGGGGCCAGTACCATGCTATTTTAATCACTGTACCGTTGTAGTATGACTTCAAAACTGGGATTGTTACATCTGTTTTGCTCTTGTTCCCAGGGTTGCTTTTGATATTCGGGGTCTCTTCTCATCACATATGAATTTTAGGGGTGCTTTCTCTAGTTCTGAGTTATTGGCATTTTTTAAATTGGGATTGCATTAAATCTGTATATACGTTTTAGAAGTACGGCCATTTTGACTACACTGATTCTGCCTATCCAGGAACAGGGCTGATGTCTTACTTGATCTCCTTTTTTAAAGTATTGTAGCTTTCATTGTAAAGGTCTTTTACTTCCTTGGTTAGGTTAATTCCTAGTTATTTAATTTTTCTTGATGCGTTTGTGAATGATGTTTTTCTTCCTAGTTTCTTTCTCAGTGAGATCAGTATAGGTGTACAAGAACACTATTGACTTTTGTGTGTTGATTTTATGTCCTAGCACAGTGCTGAATTTGGTTATTTTAGGAATTTTTTGATGGAAGTTTTTGCATTTTTCAAGTAGAGGATCATTTCACCTGCAAATAATGATAGTATGATTTCTTTTCATATATATATATATGTATATATATATACAT